AAAAATTGCCCAAGAGAAGTTCTATATGCATTCACAGAGTTAGCTTGAAAAGTGCTTAGTGCTATGGCCCAGCTAATCGACTTGAAATAAATATTGCAATAAATGTGAGAGTTGTCTGAGCAAAGCATTCCAGTGCAGGCTGAAAATCTATGAAGAGCCTAAACATTTTCTTTAAGATCCTCTGGAAGTTTTATTGGGTAAATTCATGGACTGTACAGCCAGACTTCTCACTGACAGTTAAAACCTCAGCAGCAAATCTTTTTTCAGCCGGCTCCACACTGCCCAGTATGTTTTTAAACTTCTTGTGCGTGTTTCTGGGTGAGGGAGCCCTTGAAAGTCTTGTTTTATTTTCCGTAATCCAAGTTTATCAGTAGCCTTGAAAATGTTCAGTTCTTAGACATAACTATGGAGATCCAAATTAACTGAAATTTAATTTAATGATCACTTTCACCTTGTAATTCTATCCTGATCTATTTTGAAGCTTTAGAGCGGGTTCCAGCTTTTTAAGGTTTGCAAAATAGTTCTAAACACAGGAGAATTTAAAATAAAACCTGCAGAATCAGTCTTTTTTTCTCCTGTAGAAATGAATGTGAAGGTAAGCATCTTTGAAAGCTTCTTCACAAAGCCATTCTAGATGTTATACTTGTTATGAAGATTAGTCTCTCCTGATGGATTCCCATATCTTCCTTTTCAGAACTTTTTGCTACATGGTTACGGCTAAAATACAGGGTTCTGAAGGTTTTTTAATGAGAAATTATCTCCCTTTGACCTGCAGAGATGCAGCCACTGAATATTATGTCCTAGATATTACACATATGACCTTTTAATGAAAACAGTTGTGATAAAAATGTACCTCTCCTTGGTCAAAAGGGGAGCCAAAACTTGTCTCAAAAAAAGCCTTCTATTAGAGATCTAAAATATTTAATCAATTCGGCCTTGGAAAATGGGGTCAGGAGTTTTGAAAAATGTGGCATATTTGATTTCTTATAGGAAAAAGTGTTTTCAGTAAAAAGCAAATGGTTTGGCTCTGCTGGTATTCGGTCACTATCGATTTTCCCCATTCATGTTATCTGTCGTACGCGTACACCATCTTGGCCTTTTTTCATTTAATAGGAGTGTATAAGCTTGTTACATCTGCAATATTTTTAGATTTAAAAGACCGAAAGAGCCTTTTGATTTTAGACTTAGAATTGGGACAATAGCTAGCAAAATAAAATTATATCAGAATTGTTTGGTCTAGAAGCAGCCACTCACTTTGATTCTTAGTCCAGTGACATAAAAAATGTTCCTTATGGAAAGGCTGGGGGCAAAATACAAAGTCTAAGAACACTGTCTGCCAAAGGTACAGTTAGCCCAGAATAGCAGGAAAACATTTGCTTCAGTGAGCTAAAACAACATTGAATAAAAGTCATTTAGTTTATAGTCAGAAAGCTGCTGGCTTGTTTAAAACAAAACAAAAAGGGGGGGGGGAGGGACGAAGAAAATTGGCTTGAGTTTTAAAATCGTAAGAATTTTAAAAGGAGCATTCTATAATGACCATGATGTGTTCATCCAAGAATCTGCTCCAGCCCTACCTAGAATTGTCATAGAATTAACTTGTGCATTGCTGATTGCAAAGCACATGACATTCCACTAAGCTATGGTTCTTCCCATTTCAGAAGGATGTCATAAATTGCTATCTACTGTTCTCTTCTTAGCCACTTCCTGTGCATTTTTAATGAAGTATTTTAAAGGGTATTCCCTTCTAAGGGAAAGCAGTTAGGGTTTTATGCTGTAATTCCTGAATTCAGGCAAAGAAAGATCTTGTGAAATTGCATGCAAAATTATCCTTGGCATTTTTTTTTTTTTATTATGGATTAAAAAGTACAAACTACTACCATTTGAAACCTTTTGGAGGTTAGAAACTTTTTACACCTTCAGCACAACACTGGAATAGGCATTATGTAGGTCAGACAATTTTCCTTTCTAACCAAGTATCAGAAGGTTCTGATCGTCAGAAGGAATACAGAATATTGGCTGTTACCTGCTTTAACCGCAGCGGCCATGGATTGCAATATTTTCAGACTCCCCCAGTTTATGTAACCTGGCTTCTGCTAAATCAGTATGACTGGAGTTAGCATCACTGCACTAAGTTTGCCGCTGTTGTTGTTGTTCAGCCGTTAAGTCGTGTCCGACTCTTCGTGACCCCATGAACCGTATCGCGCCAGGCCTCCCTGTCCTTCACTGCCTCCCTGCGTTTGCTCATTTATTTGTGAGGAAATTTTGTGGAAACTTTCTCCCTTCCTCCCACATCCTTGGATTTCACGGTAGAATTAGAAATTGCGATAGCCATTTATTTCTAAACACACACATACACATATTGACGTTTATCAACATTTTGGTGATTTTTGCTAACTTGTTTTTCCTGTTCTTAAAAACGCTGTCCTGCTTTATTTGCAAAAGTAAGCTCGCATTAATGGCCTTCTTGATGATTGCATTGTACACCAGCTATTCTTAATAAACCGTACAATTCTGCTGCTTACTAGCTTTTTGCAAAACATAATGTTGTCTTTAGAACCATAATGTAGAAATGTACCATAATAAACTGATACAATATTGCCTATTTTTTATTTATGTTTGCTTTCCCACTTTTCCTTCAAGGAATTCAGAAGTGATAGTTGCATGGATTTTCCCCATCCACTTTTCTTTCTACAGCAAAAGATGCAAGATATATCAGTACGTTTATAATAGATATAAAACATGGATGCTTATATTGCCTGGGAATTGGGTGTAAACTCCCCACCCCCGAACTCTGGGCTGTGCAACCCACGTTTCTTTCTCAATCTCTGTGGTCATTTAGCCTTCAATAAATACCAGCAGCAGAAAGCATGGCCACTGGTAATTTCCAGTGAAATTGTAACTAAACCACTAAGTTATTTGGAAATAAGTGAAGAAAGAAATCATAAGAGTATGGGTGACAACTTATGAGAAAAAATGGACACGTTTCTCAATTATCATTTGAGGGAAACAGCCAAAATTAGATTAGAAATAGCTCTTTTTTCCCTATATAATTGGTTTTATATGACTTGGTGATTAAGAATAATGGAAAAATGAAAGCTTGTACAGTATCTTATTTTGTTGTTAACTGGAGGAAAGAATTGCCTTTATAAGTATAGCAGGTAAGCGATCCTCTTTAATTTGGTGGGTTTATTTTGATATCTGATGCAATTTTGTATATCCAATTAAAAGGTAAAAAGTACATATGTAATTTGAGTTTGATATCACATTACTGATATTTCTAATCTGACGTGTTTGGTTTTGCAAAGGTATGTGTTACTTTCAGATGAAATTCAAAATAAGAATTATATTCTTATTCCTAGGTCATCCTTGTGCAAGTAAACCCAGGAGAGACTTTCACAATTAGAACTGAAGATGGACATATCCAGTGTATTCAAGGTAAACAATGAGCATATAATATGAAATTACTGATATCTGATATTGCATATCTATTAAACTTATGTGGCTGGATAGCTTTATCATAGTTTCACAGTTTCATAAGTAGAAAACAGCCTTCCTGATGTATAGACTCCAACACCCAAAATTCCACTTCTGAGAATTTTGGGAGTTGAAGTCTATACATCTAGAAGGCACTCAGTTTGAGGAAGGTCGATACAGAATTTTATTCAAATGAATAAAATTCTGGTCATTGAGTCCAGTCCAGGGTATCCATTGGTCAACCCATCTCCTACACAGAACTGAGTTTGCAATCATCGTAACCACAGTATCTGGCCATTTCTCTAGAAGACTACTTACAAAGCAAAGAACTTGAATCATCTAATGTTGAAGGCCAAATACAGTGGTACCTCTACTTACGAACTTAATCCATTCCGTGACTCTGATCGCAAGTCG